GACGTCCCGAAGGGGGAGGAAGGGTGGAGGAGGTGGGGGAGGACGAACGGAGGAGGGGAGCAAAATGAGAGGAAAGAGGAGTGGGAGAGGGAGGAGGAGGGGAGGAGGAGGGAAGGAGCACGAGGAGGATAGGAGGAGGAGGAAACAGGAGATGGTATTGAGGGGAAGGAGGGGCATACCCTTTTCTCTTTATACTCCCTCCTTCTCTTCAAGAACAGCGCTCTAAGTTGGCATTACAGAGAATTGTAAACATCTTTCATATTTCTGACATATTTATCAAAAAACAAAATTTCCTGCTAAATTTAGCGGGAAAAATTTCCGGCTAAATTTAGCGGTACAATTTCCCCAGTAAATTTTAGTGGAAAAAATTCCCCCGCTAGATTCAGCGCAAAGAATTCCCGGTAAATTTAGTGGGAAAATTTCCCTGTTAATATTGGCGAAAAAACTTCCCCATTAAATTTTGCGGAAAAATTTCCCCTTGAAATTTAACGGAAAAAATTCCCCGCTAAGTTTCTCAGAAAAAAGTTCCTGCTGAATTTAGTGCAGGCAATTTCCCGCTAAACTTAGCGATAAAAAGTTCACCGCTAAATATAGCAGAAAAATGATCCCGCTAAATGCGGCAAAAAAGATTCGCCACTAAATTTAGAGTAAAAAATGCCCGCTATATTTATCGGAAAATTTTTCACGCCAAACAGCAGAAAAAAATTTCCGCTCAAATTTCCCACTAAATTAAAAGGCATATTATCCGCGCTAAAATTAGCGATAAAAATTCCTCGCTAAATTTAGCGCAAATATTTCCCCGCTAGTCTTAGCGGAAAATATTCACCACTAAAGTTACCAAAAATAATTTTCCGTTGACATTAGGAAAAAATTTCCCCACTAAATTTAGCTGAAAAATTTCCACGCTAATTTTAGCGCAAATAATTACCCACTAAATTAAGGGGAAATATATCCCCGCTATATTCAGCGTAAAAATTTCCCCGCTATATTTAGCGTAAAAAGTTTCCCGCTAAATTTATCACAAATGATTCCCCACTAAATTTAGCGAAACCAATTCGCTGCTAAATTTAGCAAACCACTATTCCTGCTAAATTTAGCAGGGAATTTTTAAGCTGAGTTCAGCAGAAAATGTAGCGAAAATTTCCCGCTAAATGAGAGGGGAGCAGAAGAGGCGGAAGGGAGGAGAGGAGGGGGAGGCAGGGACCAGAGCCGTATATGTAGAGAGTTTGGCCATTCGTTGGGAAGTATAGGAGACAAAGGAGGAGGCGCCATTGGCCGAAAGCGGGCTGGGCGTGTTCCAGGGCGTCTTCGGAAATTCGAATGTGACCAACCAGAAGCAGGAAATAATACCCTGGCGGTGGTTGCGAGAAACAAAATTCATAAGTGCGTCGGAGTAACTCTCGGTGACTGAAAATGTGGTACATGTGATGTTTCAATCACGGTCATCTAAAATGATGGTGGAAGAGCGCGACTAGCGGAACGATCGACATAATCCGTACGCCAAACGCCGAGGGCCGGGAATCTGCCGTCCGAGCGGTCACACTTTGTCCGCGCAAAACAGAGTTGAGCGGCGCATTCGTTTCTTACATCTTTCTGCATGATCATGATAAAAACAACACGTGCACCTTTTTTTCAACCACGAAGGGTTACTACACTTCTCTTACGCACTTATTAAAACCATCTACGAACATAGACCTTCGATCAGAACTGTTTCTCGCTACCACCGCTAGGGGATTCTTTTCGGCTTCTGGTTGGTCAAAAGAGCATGCCAAGCCCTCTTTCCGAGTCTGCCGCACGCCCTGGTTCTGCCCGCGCCTCCCATTGACCAAACTCTCTACATATACGGGTCTGGAAGGGACATACCCTCCCCTCCATACCCCCTCCTCCTCTTCCTCTAGAGCTATGCTCTAATTCGTCATTACAGGGAATCGTAAACGTCTTTAATTTTTGAATTAACTTTTTTTTTCGACGTATATATAGAGCATTTCTTGCGTTACGCTTTCGTCGACAATATATGAAACGCTTAAAATAAAAAACACCTAAATATGAATGAGAAAAAAAAAAACAGGGTTTAAGAAACACACCGCGGCAACGACTAACTTCTTTCATGAACCCGATATTTTCAGCACCCCAAAGGGCTTAAAACTGCATTTCAGCAGAGTGTACAAAGGGTAATTTTAAGTGTATGGAGGAGTTGCATGTATATTATGTAATGAGGAAAAATGTGTCGTTAAATATTTATGAAAGAAAATGTCAATCGTGCAATCATTAAAAGAAGCACTCTTATAACCCGGACAGCAATTTTTGCTTTGCTTACGAGAGGAACCTATCCATACGTTCTCGCTATATTTTTTTTGTTTTGTTTTTGTTTCACGTAGAAGGGTAATGTATCGTTTTGTAATGCGCACCAATTGAGAAACGTGCCAACGATCAGGGAATTTCTAACACATAACCAGTTTCTTTTGAATATATCCGTGGTGATCGTGCGTCTAATTAAAAAAAAACACCAATGGCCTTTACGCTCGGTAAATAAATTAGTCTCCCTATGAGTAAAAAGCACGGGTGAGATGGTTAAAAAGATTTTTTAGCCATAAAACGATCATAAAATGCACTTCAGCAGTTGAATATAATCTACCAGTGATATTCACACAGAAACAAGCTTATCGCATAGGAAAAATTACCCATACTTTTCTTTATTAACTATGCAGCCTGTGCTCTATGCGTGTCCCTACTCTATTAAACTAAATTCAGAAGGAATACACCTCGTTGAAGATATCAGACGTATTCGTAATACACCCGCGTCACACCAAGTAGCGTGACTTGGTGCCTGCCTTTGGATGCTAAACTGAGGTTTTACGTATTCATGCTTTTTATGCAAAGTGAATGTTAGAAGTACAATTGACGAACATACTTTTTGTTCGGGTGCGTAGCAATACCACGATCAGATTTAAGTCTCGAGAGGCTATTTGAAGCGTAATGCAACCCATTTGTGAAAGAGATACGGTACACTAGGTAAATGAGCTCCCCGCTACTGAGGCGTCCATCGCTATCTAATGGCTGGCCATATTTCCGGACAAAATTTATTTACCACTTAATTCTAGGCGCTGCTAATGTTTTATGCTAAATCTAAGCAAACGCTAGTTTTTATTTATATCTGTTACTTGACAAAATCTGCAAAATAAAGTTTAGTTTCGGTGACTCATACGACAAGGCGTACATCGATCGTTTAATATAAACAATTGTACCGTATGACTTCGTTTTATGTTTTTCTTGTTTCTAATTTTACTTAGATGATTTTTACGCTATCGAAAATCCTTTTTTCCGTATTTCAGCGCGAATATGAGTTTCGCAATTACACCCGTACGCTGCCGAACAGAAAAAACATAAAATTATCCACGGATAAATTGAATACCGAAAATAGTCATCAAATCAGTTTGCAGAAAAACAAAAAGTTGTCTCTATGGAACTTTTTAATGCGATTCAAATAAATGGAGTTCAATAATACCAATTGGAGCGAGGCCCAAAGCCCCCAATGGTGCGCACGCCGTACAGCTTGTTCGGGAGTGGACCATATCTTTGGATTTAACGAGGTCCTCCCGAGTTTCATCATAATGGGAAACACTACATGCCACAGTATGTGCATGTTATCTTCAAAACGCCACATATTGTCAATTACAAACATCGGTGCTAGTGTCGCCACTTTTTTTTCTTACGAAACCGCTACATGTAATTTGTTAAGAGTGTCTCATTGCCGTGTACAGACGAAACGACACGCAGAAAAGCCCCAAAACACGGGAAGAAAAAATACATATGCAATTACAATTCTTCTGCCTGCCTTTAGAATATACTCATAATTAATTTTTTTTATAGTTTACTGTAGACGTTGCAAGTATGTGAAATAGTGTACCTAAACATATTTGACAAAACAAATTTTACGTAAAGAATTCGAATTCAAGATTGGCTCTTACTTGCTGTCTCTTGTTTCGTTTTGAGATTTCACTTGTTACCGAACATTAAGACAGAAATGTTTTTATTGTATATTATTGAAACCCTGCCGTTGTTGAGCTTCGCCATTCAGCCACTATATTGCGCATTGCTCTGGGATAAGGATGTCTTGAGCGAAGGAAGATTCATAACACAATGATTAAAAAGCGCGACAGGACAACGGACACAGAAGGAGACACAGACACAGCGCTGTGTCTGTGCCTCCTTCTGTGTTCGTTGTCCTGTCGCGCTTTTTAATCAATATGAATCATCAACTTGCCCAACTTTCTACCCTGGTCATACCACATTTTAAGTTCAGATTAAAAAAATATTTAAAAAAATGTTTTCATTATCGAGAAGAGCCTCGTACACCTCATAACTACTTTGGGAATTTTGAGGTCGAATTTCGGCTGACGAACGCTTGCGTTCCATATTCCCACGCGATGCGCAGACCCCAGTTGCCATAGTAACAATCACGTCTAAGCAGTCATGGGCGGTCCTCACGTAGCACATCACACTTAAATACGAATTACTCAACCGCGCCCTTACATTACTAATCCAAAACACATTGCCAACCTTGAATACGAATTTATATACATTTTAACGACCATACAATATAAAAGAAGAAAAAAAGCATGTGTGCTTACTTTCCTAGTGAATACATAAACACTCAATCGTGGCGAATAGTAGAGGAATCCTAAGAAATATAGAACTTAACCTTAGACTCAGGCAAAATAATTCAAAGTAGGCAGGTACAACTTATGCGTTGTCGCTACCTAAATTGCATTTTTTTAGATCTTATCGTATGCTTGATACGCAGCAATATTTCTATTGTTTGCCGCAATCGGTTGTCTTCGTGCTCTGCCCGATAGAGAACTCACCGACTTTTTTTCTTTCTTTTGTGCGTATCACACGGGGCGCGCGTACATACATGGGACGGTTGAACAAACCTCAGCCGTGTTTGCTCTACGAAGGACCTGTGATTATGAGATAATTAAAATCGTAGTAAATCTTACCTGTAGATGAAGAAGAATACGACGCAAAGGATGACAACCAAGCCGCTGAGGACGCCGCTCACGATTGCATACTTTGGAAGTTCTACAAGAGGAAGAAAACGTATATTAGCTGAAGACAGCCCATGTATGAGGAGAGCAAATTCGTCTGCTACTTTTTTAGAGGTTGCGGTGACGTCAGAACGCCCAGCTTTGATTGGCTAAGATTAAAGGATACTGGTTAGACCTTGAGGCAGATTGGTTGCAGCAATGTTATCAGCTAACGCCCTAATCAGATTGGTTGCGGAGCGACACTACACTCTAAAAAAAGTCTGTGAGTCTACTTAAAAAGGCAGCTCAGCGAATGACGATGCCGAAACATCTGTTTAGACCAAAAAACGCAGACTGAGTTGTGACATTAGGCAATGCAAGCGTGACGTTTTGCATTGCTTAATGTCACAACTGAGACTGCGTTTTTTGGTCTAAACATATGTTTTTGCATCGTCGTTCGCTGAGTTGCCTCCGTAAGTTGCGGTGATTGGCTCCCTGAGTGTTCGGCGTGAAAGTAGACTTACAGACATTTTTTAGAGTGTAGAAGGCTCGGGACTCAACACGCCTTGTGTTTCTTGATTTGTCGATGACTCAATTTCACTTCATTGTGAAAGCGTTCAATTTAAAAATAATTTATATTCCACACAAAAAGAAGTAATAAATCGCTCCTACCAATTACTTGAGCCTGAGAATCTTAAACACTGCATCACACTTTTTGGGTCTTTTACTAGGTATCAGTCCTGAAGACACGCGAATAAAATATTGAATGGTTATTTATCGTGTCGCAAAGCTAGTCCAGACAGAAGTAGAGTTATTTGAAAACTATGAGAGAAGAAAACACTTCCTTTGTTTTGTCTTTCCGCCTGACTTTCAACTCTTTGGCAATTCTGTTTATCCAGCTCCGGGTATTCTTGCGATGCGATTATCTTGTACTAATTCTCCTGCGCTAGCTCTTACTGACTTTTTTTTAATGGTTCTTTTTGTATGATTTGGTGAAAGTGTTTCAGGGTTGCAGATCGAAAGGTGATCGTAATTCAACATGTGCATGTAAGTTTAATTAATTTTTACAAGTAGTAAAAACATCATAAAAATACAGAGAAGATTGAGTACTCGTGTTTAAATTACATATTTTAGGCATAATTTAAGTTATTAATTCAGTTTTGAGTGCACACGGGCAGTGTTCGACGCGTTGAACGACACGAAGCTGCAGTGAAACGAAACTGACCAGAGTAGCGCGAAAGCCATCGTGCTCATTACAATGCCATCTCTGGATGTAAATTATTTTGCGCACGTCTCATGCACACTTCACGACATAGCTTTTTGCAAAATGTTGTGGCGAGATAAAAAAAAAATATTGTGCTCTTTATACACATGCGTTTAGATAAAATATCAGTAAACTGGGGTTAAAGGCATGCACAAACATAGTATCGCAAATGGACAGGTCAGAAAGCGCCACCGGCTAGCGTGCGATCGCTGTGCATAATTTGGGACGGATTGCTTTTCGGGAAACTATTTTTCAGGGTTAGGCCTCTTCAATGTCGCCTCAGTGTGTCATTAAGAGCTGGCTATTTAATGCAACACATACAGTGCTTGGAGTTGGTTTAGGTCACCAAACATTTTTTTCCTAAAATTTCATTACGGCTAGTGCATTCTGGTGCCATCTTTGAGCATTTCGTGTTCATAAGAGGCTCAAGGATTGCGGCTTATTCTCAGAATCTACAGGCAATGTTCACCATCTGGAAATGCTGAATAGTTTCCTTCGTTCGGTCTTCTCGTTTGAACTGAAACATTGTGTCAGGCCTACTCTCTAAGAAATGCCTGCCCGTCTACTTAACCGCAAAACACTCAAAGAGCATATCTCCGCGATCTACGAAATCAGCTCAGTGAATGATGGGGCGGAACAGATGCTTAGACATCAAAATTAAGTCTGCGCTGTGGCATTACGCAATGCAAGTATGACGCTCTGCATTGCGTAATGCCACAGCGCAGGCTTCATTTTTAGGTCTAAACGGATGTTCCGCCTCATATTTCGCTGAGCTGATTTCGTAGATCGCACAGATCGACTCTTTGAGTGTTTTGCGGGTAAGTAGACGCGCAGGCATTTCTTAGTGTGTAGGAACTAGCTCAAGCAGCCGGTGCTTCATGATATTTTTATTTGATAAAAGTAGGGGCATCAAAAGAATACCGAAATATTTCTGACGAAAGTTTACGTTTTATTTTTTTTTAAATGTGAATAGGATCAGACAGGTCAGCAGTGGAATGCGCGTGACTGTTTGCCACTTGAAAGGAAGTAAAAGAAAAAAGAGTGAAAGCCGTTTACAACTCCCTGTAACGCCGAATTAGAGCGCAGCTCTTGAGGAGGAGGAGGGAGGGGTACTGGGGGGGCTCACGTGACCTAGGGGGGTCACGTGACCTTGGTGGGGCACGTGAACTGGGGCCACGTGACGATGACAATGCCGATGATGTCATCACTGACGTGACTGATGACGTTATCAGTGACGATGACGATGCGGATACAGATGACATCATTAGTGACGTCACTGATGACGTCACCAGTGATGATGACGATGACGATGCGGATGCCGGTGACGACATCAGTGACGTCACTGATGCCGTCATCAGTGATGATGACGATGACGATGCGGATGTCGGTAACGTCATCAGTGACGTCACTGATGACGTCATCAGTGATGATCACGATGACGATGCGGATGTCGGTGACGTCATCAGTGACGATGACGATGACGATGCGAATGCCGGTAACGTCATCAGTGACGTCACTGATGACGTCATCAGTGATGATCACGATGACGATGCGGATGCCGGTGACGTCATCAGTGACGATGACGTCATCGGGGGATCACATGACCCGGGCGGGGGTCTCGTGACCTCGGGGAGGGGTCACGTGAAGTCATGGGAGTCACGTGACTGCGGGGGTCACGTGACCTCTGGGGGGGGTCCCGGCCCCCCCCCGAGGTCACGTGACCCCGGGGGAGGCTCGCGCGGTGCAATATGGGACATTTCCCATAATGCACCGCGCGGTTACGCCGACGGCGACGCCGACGCCGCTCAAGCCGCAAACGGGCGCCTAAGAGCTGCGCTCTAAAAAAGTGAAAGCCGCTTACAACTCCCTGTAACGCCGAATTAGAGCGCAGCTTTTGAGGAGGAGGAGGGAAGGGCACTGGGGGGGGGGGGGGTTAAACTAACCAGGCGGGGTCACGTGACCTTGGGGGGTCACGTTACCTTGGGGGTCACGTTACCCCCAATGCCAATGATGTCATCACTGACGTCACTGATGACGTCATCAGTGTCAATGACGATGCGGGTACCGATGACGTCATTAGTGACGTCACTGATGACTTCACCGGTGATGATGAAGATGACGATGCGAATGTCGGTGACGTCATCAGTGACGATGACGATGACGATGCGGATGCCGGTGACAACATCAGTGACGTCACTGATGACGTCATCAGTGATGATGACGATGACGATGGGGATGTCGGTAACGTCATCAGTGATGATGACGATGACGATGCGGATGCCGGTGACGTCATCAGTGATGATAACGATGACGATGTGGATGCCGGTGACGTCATCAGTGATGATGATGATGACGATGTGGATGCCGGTGACGTCATCAGTGATGATGACGATGACGATGTGAATGCCGGTGACGTCATCAGTGATGATGATGACGATGTGGATGCCGGTGACGTCATCAGTGATGATGACGATGACGATGTGGATGGCAGTGACGTCATCAGTGACGATGACGTCATCGGGGGTCACGCGACATCGGCGGGGGTCACGTGACCTCAAGGAGGGGGTCACGTGACCTCAGGGGAGTCACGTGACTTCGGGGGGTCACGTGACCTCGGGGGGGTCACGTGCCCCCCATGAGGTCACGCGACCCCGGTGTAGGGCTCGCGCGGTGCATTATGGGACATTTCCCATGATGCACCGCGCAGTTACGCCGACGCCGCTCAAGCCGGGAACGGGCCCCTAAGAGCTGCGCTCTAAAAAAAGGACGAGCAAAAGAGTTACTGAAAAACGAAAACTGCCTTTTTCATATGAAAACTTATAAATACCCTTTTAGTTAATACTAAGTTTAGAGTCAATAATATATAATAAATATTCAACTTTGCAGATCTACAAATGTCTTCATGGCAATAACATAGCTTTACTTTAGCGCCCTCTTGACGTCTCACTAAAAATTATACTTGAATTATTTTCAGCTTCACAAGGAACATGTTATCAAAATTTTCCCCAATCACTATGCAAAGATAACAGCTACGTCACTTATAAATTTTGTTTAATTGGGAAAGAGCCTAGAACGCCGTAAAATTTTTCACAATTATAAACTAAAAGTATGTGACAGTTCTCCTAGTGATCTTCTTGAAATATTTACCATTCAGGTATAAACACATTTCAAAAAGATAATTTTCAAGCATATTTTTCTTCATAAACTACTTTAACGTAGTAATATTTTAATAAAATGAACAACAAGGGCGCTATGTTTTACCAAAAAAAAACAAATGTCTATTTCACCGCCACAAACTTTGTCCAATTTGTTCAATTGCGCTTCTCTCTCTCTCTCTCTCACACACTCACACACACACACACAAACACACACACTCACGAAACATTCGTTTTTGACATTTTCCACGTTTAACATCAGCTGATATCACTTCAAGTTAAAAAATAATGTCGACTCGGCTTACACATTGAGTGTCTAACACGTTTTACCCATCATTGCATTCTAAGCCTTTTTTCTTCTTTTTAACGTAACACTGCATATTTTAAGCAAAAGCTTCACTTGTCCTATTACGCAAAAAAGCGGTGGCGTTGTGCCCGAAAGATGGTCACACCAGTACGTCATCAAGCACGTCTCTGACAAATGAAACACGAAGAAAAGCACAGGAACGCACGTCACGGGAGCCGTCGTGAAGCCGGCTAGGTGCCGTGTGAAAAAGGAATTTATGGGGTGCTGCTGTTCGTCGGAATGCTTTCGCATTCCTGCACGCAAGTAGTCTTCAGTGTTTCTGACGAATTATTTAGTAATCGAAAAATTTGGGCAGGGTGTCCATTAAAGATTTGAATTCTATAAATCGCCATCCTTTAATCATATAATAAATCGATCAATCGATTCCATTAATTCCCACGCACAAAAGTTTAAAAAGCCGAAATTATTTTTTTTTTTGCCTTTGTTGATTTTGTGATAAACGGCGCAGTGTACAATTTCGTATTTCAAATTAACCTTGAAGTGCAGCTGAGAACAGTCAACTGACATTCACATTAAAAAAAAGTATTACTTCAGCCGTAGAGGCAAAGAGGTTCGTTGTTATTCTCCGGCGATAGCGAACTCCTTTGATTGTTCACAATAGACTGCGGCGCTAAACGGACACTTGCGCGACATTGAAGTGGCTGCAACACGTTTAACGTTTCTGCACTTGTTTAGAATTACAACTAGCGCGCCTATCGTTAACGCTAGGTGAAAATTTCACGTAAACTTTGCCTTCATTGTCGTGTAGTCGTCCACGTGTGCGAGGTGAAAACGTCAAATTTTAAAATTTTTGGTTTGTTTGCGAAATTTGAATTGATTACGCGGTTAAAAATTAATTACCGATAAAGCATTACTTGATTAATCGGTTTAATAATCGATCAAGTGCCCATACCTACCCGTACGTACACTCGAAAGAGTTAGGGTGATTCACCATCAAACAAATAAATAAAATAAAACGTAAAAGAGTTGCGAATATTACAAGCACAATTAATTAGCGCTATAGGTGTTCCGATATCCAATTTCTCTCTACTGTCCCATAATAAGAAGAGAGAACAGTATAAAAAGGTAGGAAAAAAAATCTGTCTAAAACAACAAAGTTTATTGAGTCATCTATGCTCATTGTTTTAAAAGTAAGATTTAGACTTTGTTGGGCTCCTGTTCTTTTCATATTTTGGCCACTGTGTATGACGACATCGCCACCTGACTGCGAAAGATCAAACATCCAAAGGCCCCAAACTTGTAAACACAAAGTTGGAGGCGCAAGTTCGCGAAGCGCGCCAATCGGACACCGGCGACGAAAGTGCGAAGTCATCGTCGTGATAGTCCAATCTGAGTGCTCCGTGAACTTCGGCCCAACTCTGTGCTTGACGAGTTTAGTGTCCCGAGAAAAACACATGTTTTTGTCTTCATCGAACAACAACATTCTAAACGCGATCTTCTAGAAAAACCTTCGTAAGCAGCATCACGAGACTTTTTTCACGGGCTTCTGCAGTTGCTCACATCTCAAGATAACGCAGCGTGGGGCCTTTCATATTCTCGCTTCTCGCTTCGTGTTTCGGCGCTCTGATTAGCTACTCGAGCAATTCCACTGATTCGGCTCTCGTGACTATAGTGACTATTGAGGCGAGGGCTTCTATCCTGCTTCGTTAAAACAGTCGCAAATATTGATTACAATATTGCTCAGGAACGCGTAAACTATGATGAGTATACCTTAAATCCTCGCTGGAACGAAGCACTCTATATTCTCTTCACCACTAAACTGAAATGGCGGTTGAACTTGTACGCACACGGAACAACCAACTGTCTGCCTTTCGCCGCTCTACTCTTATTTCTTCCTGCGTGCATGAGGAGAGAGTACGACCACGTGCGGCATACTCGGCGGTGCACTGATCGAACGAGTGCTTCGTTCCCACTGCCCTTTGAGCTCAGCTGTGAATGGACTAGAGTGTTTCGCTGGGAAAACATGGCCGAGGGTTTGGTTTCGGCAGGCTCCACCTTGCCAGAGATTTGTTTCTTACCGGAACTCGTGGGAATTTCCTACTTTCCTTAATAAACGACCCGAGCCGTTAACATTGCCCCCCCTAGAAAAAGCACCTGGAAGCAAGACATCTCAGGCACACGAAACATCATCGTTCATACATGTTGCCGAGGAACGGCGTTGCGACGAAGGGTCGACCGAAAAAGCTGGTCATGTGTCATGCTTTGGCGCCGGCAAATATCGAGGATTATCTGCGGCCAAGGGAAGAAGGAAAAACTTTTCTTTCTTTTTTTTCTCTTACTGGCTTGTTCGTTACTTAGTTTCGCTCGTGTATTTTGAGGATGTGCATTCTTTGGGAATTGAGTCCATTAATAGCTCTTTTTTATGTTTAGTGGAAATTGTTTTGCGTGTGGTGCGTACCTTCGTCGGGGCACTTTGAGCCGTCGAATCCGCACCTCGGCGTGTCCGGTGGAGGCAGTCGCTTCCCTCCGGGCCAGTGGATCATACGACCTGGGACGTCGCTGAAGCTCTTGTTTACGCCGAAGTAGTTGGCCACCACCTGCGATGCGAGCCTCGATGGAAATGCTCTTCTCCCAATTCAAGCCGTCCTTCCTATTCATTCTTTCTTGAAAACACGCTGATTTTTATTCTTTTTCTTTTTAATTAAGTATATTTTGTGATTCCAGCGTAAGACGGTGAATGCATACACCGTCATATATGCATATATGACGGTGCATACATTCACCATCTTGTAGATATACAAGTCATTTAGATAAGATATCTAATCAATGTTGACATCTTTTGGGGATCCTTGAATATTTGGGGGACTATGGTGTTCATGTACCGTCGTAAAAATGCTCGCGCTTTTTCTTGCCCGCACGCACTTAATACCGATACACTGGTATTTAGGAAGACTGCAAGGAAAATAACGAGAACGAGAATTATGCTTCAACCTCATAATAAAATCAGCGTTGTGACACCAAGCATGGGGAAAACAGGTGAAACGTGGCGCTCAGTGCTACAACGCAGATTCTAAGTTTCGGTCTTCAAAACATTTTCGTCCTCGTCATTGGACACACTGTCTTTGTAGATTAAAGTGATTGCCTCTCCGACTGTTCTGCTTGAAAAATAGAAGTCAGATGGCATTTCTAAATAAGTTAAACCCTCAAAAATATTTATTGATGTGCCATCTCGTGATTAGTCTAATTTACATTGTTTAATAATTCGTGGTGTTATTAGTGTAAGCTAATAATGTCGACGGGTTCTACTTTGAAAAATGTATGTGAATGGAAGTATAAATGGAAGTGACATGTCTACATTTCAGCCAAAGAAAAAAAAATTGGTAAAGCTCTGACTCGTTGAATAAATGGGCTAGCTGGTGCTGGAGTTAAAAGCAGCATGAACAATGTTAAGATCTGCGTTGTTTTCTGTTACGTACTGATGATCTGAGTTTAGAATAGTAATATGTCGTAATAGAATGGTTTCTACCGCCAGCTTTATTGGGTCTTTTCTGTATTTGCCTGCTGGAACATAAGTGACCATATGCGTCGTCGAGTGCGGCCCGCGCTACTTACCGAGGAGGCCACTCAAGCATTAGCAACCCCGCAATAACCAAAATATGTCGTGGTATTCCGGCGCATTTGTGACTGCTCCAATATCTGGTCAAACGCAGACGAAATCTGTGCAGTGGCATTATGAATGTTGTATGTTTTTCTGCACTTGCATTTCCTCTAGCTTCTGGTTCCGCATCGTCCTAAAGGGACCTCAACTATTTACATACACCCCTTTTTAGCAATCGTAACTTGAAATGCCATGGTCCAGTGCTTAGCTCTAATCTTGCAAGAAATACAATTTGTATATCTCTACCCAGTTTCGAAAATTTCGTCATTATTAATTATTTCAAACTCTCTCGTTCTTTGTGTTTTACACTTGTAAACTTAACAAAACAACCAACAGCTTTCTCTTCTACTCGGTTGTAAACACTCGTTCGACTGATTTTTTTTAAGGCTTTACCGATTGGTTTAAAAAAAAAAAAAAGAATTGAAAGTTACACAATCCGGTTCGTTCAAATCAGTAATACGGTCAGGGTGAAACAATATAGCGGGCTAATTGTCACAACAAATCCAACAAAAAAGATTTTTTAACATATAATTTTTTATTAGTGAAAATAACCATAAGGTTGCATGCAGAAACTGGCTGAGCTTTATTAAAAAAACACTAAATAAATAAACTTTTGAACAGATTTTTGAGGCTCGTGGGAAGCGCGGTGATACGCTAAGGTTAACACTCGTGGAACACGCGCAATGCTATACGGGTGCAAAAACGCACCTGCACGGTTTATTTTTTAACTTTTTTATCATATGATTTACATTTTCGCCCAGGACTTTGGCCCCAGCAGCATTGCGCCAGTTGGACGAGGGATAACTTTAACATACACCGCAGCGCTATAAGCACAGCGCTGACTTTGCACTTGGCGCGTGCTGACGGGAGCGTTCACCATATTTGTATCGCACCGCCAAAATTGTTGCTCATGGCAGACGATAAGTATCTGAGGACACAGCGCTCCGCTGCCTGAGAGAACCGGCCATTAACGCACCTCCGCGCTCTACAAACGCCCAAGATCTTTCTAAAGTTAACCTATTTAGTAGTTTTTGATAACGGTCAGCAAGTTTCTAATTAAAAGTATATGTTCATTTTTACAAATTAAAAAAAAAAGTTAGTTAAGACATTTTTTTTTTTAATTATCCGACTTACCGCTCATTCACTCTGGAAGTAGATTCGCGTTCTCAAAGTGGTTGCGAACGCGGATGTATAAAGATCCAGTACAATTTCACGTGCATTTTATGTCATCAAGTGCGCGTGAAATTGAACTGGATCTTCATACACCCGCAATCGCAACCACATTGCGAACGCGGATCCACTTCCAGTGTGAATGAGTGGTTACCGTGCCGATTAGTCCCCTATATTTTGTCAACCTGGCCGTATAACTCCCATGCAAGAACTGCCGTAGTGTGGCTTTGACGGTTATTCTTTAAACAAACCTGTCTCCCCCCCCCCCCCCCCCCCCCCAGCGCTATGCAGTGTCCCCCCCCCCCCCAAAAAAAAAAGAGAGAAAAAGAATAACAGCAACAACAACAAGCATATATATATAAAAAAAATACGCAGCCACCCACTCCAACGAATGACTGCTTATCTATGTCTCGCAGGGCAAATCGTATATCAGTGACTGACTAAAGTACCTCAATACGTTTTTTACAAGTAACGACAACCACCACAAACGACAAAGCACATTCCGCTAGAACGAAATGGCGGCATTCGGTTCAAACCTCTGCTGTGCGCCGCCATTCGCTTCCTAAAACCTGCACCGTCACGCAGTCGGCGCTTCAAAGAACGTCGCCACTTGTGGGAAGCTCTTATCTAGGGATTTTATGACTGACATCTACGGAGCGCCCCTATAGTGAATGACGAGGAGCAAAAAAAAAACGGTTTTACTCGACAGCGTTATTTTCCCAACATCTTACCGATTGTTCTTGCTAAGATTTTAATTTTGAACCCAACCTCTGCTTACAAATGTGCTCATGAAGTTATAAAGAGTAGCCCACCGCGTGTTCTTTCTAGAGATACACATACAAATAATGCCACCGTATCTATACTGTTCTGCGGAGCAATAAATAATATAACTAATCACTGCAACTGTACTGAAACAACTCGTCAAATATTGACGTGATTTTTTTTTCTCACGAATTTACTCTTTTAGGTAATGTTTATGACCAGAACGATAGCCTCCTATGTACTGCAAAAGTCAAATTTGGGGGTTTTAGTTGCCAAACCAACGACGGGCATCTGGCACGCCCCAGCGGAGGACTGAGGATTAATTTCGACCACCTGGGGATCTTTTGACGTGCAACCGAAAGCTCGGTTACACGGCGCCTTCTCCGCAATAAGCCTCCGTCAGATTGCGGGCACCTCGGCCGGGACCTCCTATGTACTGCAAAGCCCGTCATACGGAACAATAAAGCGCCCGGTCGCCGGAAAAAAGAGAGGAGAAGCGGCAGAACGGCGAACGCAATGGTGGCGCAGAGGGCGCATTCTCACCTGCGCCAGTGGACCTAGCGGTCTCTCGCCAAAATACATTTGTATTTATTTTTTCTCTTTCGCTTTTTCTTCTTTCCCCAACGCGGTGGCGGCGAGGCAACGCTGGTACCACTTTCGGTACGACTACAAGACAAGATCGAACTACGAGCGGCCGGACGCGTACACATTGTGCAGCGTAAAAACTACGCATCTTTCTGCTCTCTCCAAGCTCGTTATTTCGTTCCTTGACAGGTTAGTTATCCTGGGTGCTGAAAAAACAAACAGCGGCGCTGTGAGCTTCGAGTCGGACGTGTTTCAGCGAGCAGTGAGTCGGCGGTGATGGAGAGCTTCCATCTGCGAAACTTCGTCAGGACGCTTTCAAGTCCATGGATATCTACTCTCCATGCCATCTACGTTTTGTTCTTTCATCATTTAGCTGTACAAACACGAATTGCAGTCGTCTGTCATAAAATCCAAAGCTAGCGAGGTATCTTATAGATGCATAGATCGCCGGACGCTCTAGGCAGGAGATTCTTACCTTTGATCGTTCTTCCTTTTTGTCACACCCTGTAACACTTCGTCCCGACAAGATGTTGCTCATACACTCCATATAGCAGATCCTAACCAAAGCCCAAAGCAAAACGAAACAGCGGTATCACGTAAGCAGTACAACAAGCTGAAAGGATGCGGCCGCCGTTGCACGGAGCAAGAGGAGAAAGGCGTAGATGGACGCCCGTTTTTTTTTCTTTCAATAAAAAGAACGGGAGTGCTTTCAAATTTGTCCTCTCGCGCTCTGGTGGCGCCACCAAGAAATCCCCTCCAGGACTCTTTGGTTATCCTTTTTCTCCGCTTCTCCTCTCCCTTTTTCTGTGACCGCTTTGCTTTGGGTTCTGACAGGCCGCTAAGTATAAAGGAGGCCATGCCACAATATAACTCATATGGGGGGAAATTCAGGCAAAGGATGAAAGGAGAGCACACTAGGAGGGCTAAATGCCGAGCTCTAATTTGAAGGGTTGGCGGGCAGACGCGAAGTTCGCTGCCTTTATGACTGTTCGAACACGTCCAAACGCCGGCTTGAGGCGTTCGCATTCAAACAGTGAGAAGAGACAAAGGCAGCGTGTTTTTTGCTTCCACCTAAAGTCACTCGATACTGGGAAAGTAACGCCAAGGTACCCGTATGGCCTCCATTTTGGTTGATGATATGAGCCTTTTCTTTTTGACCTCTCCATTCTTGGCAAGCCGATCCACAATAGCGACGAAGCATAGCTCTATAAAGACATTTTCTGTATACCCAGACTTCGTTATCCAGACTTCGGCGAAACAAGTGCACATCTTCGCACTGCCACCACATGAAGCGTCGGTGCTTGGCGCCATTTAAAAATAATTGCTCTTTCTCGTAGAAATAGGCAGAAAGGACCATTTCGTTAAAAAAAAAACTATATTCCTGAAGATAAGCCCGATTAATAAATTAACTGCATACACAGCGAAAAAAACACACACACACACGCGCTTATATGGGCGAGGAACATATTCAGAGGAATTTCACACCATAGCGATCTCCTCGCGACTGGTTCAGAGCGACCGCTTCGAAGCTTAGAAGATTTGGAAGGGCCCAAATAGCGATCGCCATGGCAATACAGACCGCACAGCCAAATACCTTGCAAGTTTTTGGGCGTCGGTATCTTAGTACCAGTTTATGTAGCAGGAAGAGAAGACAATGGAGATATTTTCCCCTAGGATATACTGATTTTACACCTACCTACTAACCATTCCAACGAGAGCTCGGTACGCTGTCGTCCCCACCTCTCACATACCCTCCTCTCCCTTAGTTTTCGCCCGTATTTATGTGTCGTCCACGTGCCGTCTGTACGCGACGCGCATCGTCGACATTCTCTGTGGGTCCTGGTACGCGTCTCAGAAAAATTGCTACAATCTGACTAGACCGAAAATAGTGTCTGTGATATGGAAATGAGCACGACGCAAACATGCGAATACTCCTGCAGAGTCAAATATCCTCAACTATTCTAGTGCTTTCCTTGTAGATGGCAGTCATCTTTTTTTTTAATACTATGGGGAAATTGATTATTTCTTAAAGATAAGTATAAATAAAGAGTATGTGGCGTGACGGCGCAATGGTACGGGGCAACTGTTTTAGAGATGTGTAAACTCTAGTTAAAACCAATCGTCTTTCTGAAAGAACGCCATTTTTGTGAAGTCGGAGATTTAGAAAAAAAAAAAGACGCTAAAGGCGGGTCAAAAAAAATATGCGGCATTATACCGCATTGCGACATCAGATCAACAATATTATTAATACATTTCGTCCTCATCCGAGCCCAAATAATATTAAAACCCTGCAAGGGCAGTGCTAAATATTTAATGTACCCTTATTCTTCTAATATATAATTCATAATTTTCAAACTTCGTCCCATACATTTTGGACAACATTTTACTCTGCCAGGCAAGACGCAGACTTGCAAGTAGACTTTTATACATACGCTCGAGTCAATAGGAAGTGCACGCAATTAAAAAAAAAAGAACTACAACGTTAGGATTCCTGCTTTAGGTCTCCAGACCAGGAAACAACTTTACAGCTGGTGAAAACAGGGTTCGCTGCTTTTGAGTTAAAACGACAGCTGCCTCTGTCGTTCTCAGTAAGTGACTGCTCGCCACGACAACTTGGTGTATAGATTCCCCTTTTTTTCTACCACAGATTGGCTGCTATGTTTTGAATATGCAAGAACAATCGCAATTCTATTCTTTTGCGTCTTTGACCATTTCAGTGCATGAACTTTTTGAGATTGGACTTAATGCAGTCGCATTTTTGTTTTTGTTTACACATCTCGTTTACGTCAGTTAATGTAAAAGACACTAAACAGACTCGACTAAATGTTTTTTTTTTTTTACTGCCCGCCAAACTTTATTGGTGTGCGTAGCTCGGCAGCAAACTAGTTACCTTAGTCGAAGACGTGCCAGAATGCTTGCAGGATTGTTAGGAGCTTAGCTAATTTGAGAGCGATGCCACAAAAATAGAGCCTTTCCAATACCTCAAATTGTTTTGACACCATCGGTATAAGCGATGTTGAGGGTGCCTAAACACAAACCCGTTCTAGCAGCAGCGGCGATTTAATCTTATGCGGGATCAGCACGCACTGAACCCAAGGAAGGCTCTCTGCAATTTTGCAATGCAAAGTGCGTGGGGTACCGCCCCTCAATATGAGTTTCAACCATCTTTCTATGGCAATATTTTTGATGCAAAGTTTAATAACGCGCATGCCCAATCATATATGTCGATGTTACAAGTGAAGGAGAAAACACACACACACACAACGTTGAAGCTACGAGTCAGAGGTATCAAAGTTTTAAAATATTTGAAGAATTCTATTTATTTGCTCGACTTCGCAGCTCTCACCACAATAACAAGACCTGCGGAAAACTAGTTTAGGGGCTTTTACAACGCGGTAGATATTGCGAAAACAAAGGGACTCGCAATAATGTAAACAAAAAAAGAAGATGCGACGCAAACAGGATCATATATATATGGTGATATCTCATATTTATACGGGGAAGCTGTTTCTCGCTCAAATGAACAATCTCATATACATATACGACGAAAACAAAAGCGACAACTATTAAAGAGGCGAAACTATTGCTCGGATTTTCTCACATCCCCGCCGAAAGCTGGCTCGTATAAAAAACATTGTTGGGCTATTTGTTTGCCTTTTGTTTCCTGCTCAATACATATACCACCTCCACTTTGGACGCTGCCGACGCGGACTTGATGAAGGAAGCTGCCTCTCAATTCCCTCGGTCTTTCCATGGCTTGTTTCGAACGCGAGTGTCGTACATTTCCGGGATTTCAGCGCCGTGTTGACAACGCAGTTCCCTCCGTGGCTGCGGAAATAACAGGTACGTATATTGACTCACTTGGAATTCCTTGGTAACCGGATCCATGTCGAGGATCGAGTAGTCGGCGTCTCGGTCCCCGTTCTCGTTGATCCTCACCGTGCCCGTGATTCCTGCGTTGATTTTTTATTTTATTTTACTGATTGCTTTCTATTCGGGTACAATGGGATTCAGCTCTATTGCGAGGGAGCCTCAGAAGGGAAAGCTCAGAAGAAATTTTTGCTTCAATCGTAACCTCGCGCTTCCGCGAGTTGAGCAATATTTTACTATCTTAAAACGAAAAAAAAAACACATTTTTAGCTTATTTAAAACAAACATTTACTTGCTAGAATTCTACGGATAACGTCGTTATCTCTGGTTGAACAAAGCAGCTTAAAGAAAGACTGGTGTGATCAGTATAAAAAGGTGCGGGGTTTGACCAACGTTAGGTATTCAGTGAGGTATATTGCATAATTAAACCACAGTTCTCATTAATACTTGAGGTACATGAAGTGGCATGACAATCAAGGGCAAAAGTGGCACTAAGATTTTTTTCTTTTTTTTTTTGTAATATCACATCCGCATTCAAAGTAGCAGACTTCTTTGTTTCATAAGTTGCTGTTTGTCTGGGAATTTCAAGCCTGAAAAGCCTAAACAAGTGGCCAAGGTAGGGACAAACTTGGCTTTCTTTTGCCCGAGTCTGGATGTAATGGTCCTAAATCGCCAAAGGAGTGCAAGGAATAGGCTTCACTTCAAGCTGTTGGGTTTTCAAGTGGCAACTTTAGGTCTAAATTGCGAAACAGGAGCCAGATTTAGGATTCACTATTGGTTCTTTGGTTCATACGTGGCAACTTTGGATTATGTCTGGCACTTAGGTATTTATATGGCTAGCCCGAAAAAATCCATACGAAACGCAAAGGAAAAATTATCTGGCATGCACTAACTATAACGCCTGAGAGGAAAACCTAGGATTGCCTCGCTTGTGCCAAGTTGGACGTTTTTACAGAGGTGCTGTTAAGGGCTAGTTTCCTTAGTACCGTGTCCGCCAGCAAACAAATCATGACATAAAACTCCGGGCAGCTACCGCCATCTATGAACAATGACAGAAACCAAACAACCGGCTTTTCGGTTGTCTGGTTGCCGCCGCCGCTTATAGATGGCGGCAACCTTTCCAGCCTTTCCACTCTGGCTTGCCGACTTGCTGCCGGCCATTACTTCATTCCCACCATAGCACAGCTTCGCTGGTCTTTCTTCTTCACCAGCGTGGAAAAGGTCAATGTTTTTATTTCGGTCGGGCTACCTCGGATATGTTCTTCGCAAATGCACCCTGGTTTTACAGTAATGCGAAGAATTATTTTTCAAAATCTTGTTTTAATTGCTAAAAGGATATTTCTTTTGAAAGAACATGTCTGAAGAACTTTTCGTCATTTTGTATTCTCCTTTGGGGGTTCATTTTTGTTTTGTGTTCTCGCTATGCCTAATAATAACGGGATGTTAATAACGTTATGAATAGATCGCATCTTTGGGACATCCAATAGAATATGTCGATTTTATTCTTCCTTCTCAACATCCGGTAGGGTGACTTTCACGCAAAATGACTGGGTGGTCATAGTACGCATCGCCAAACACTACTTCACCAGGAGGTATTTTTCAAAAATTATTCTAATAACTCCGAGACTATTTTGAAAATAAATCTAACTAATTCAGTTTAAGTCCCGAATCGGGCATTCGTGCCTCCCGCTCCTTTAATATCAATCATGAAATTTAAGATCTGTGCCGTGGTTCTAAATAAGCAAATAAATATTTCTACGTGGCTTCCCGCAAATTCAGCTCAGCATGACTCGGGTGGAAGATCACTTCCGGTTCAAGTATTGTTTGCATGCTCTAAAAAAAGGGGAAAAAAAGGTTTGCGCGATGTTTGGTCCGTTTAGTAATTACACCGGAATTTTGTTGCGCTTTCCGCGTCTATCGTCTTGGAAGATACCGCGACCGTTGGGTGTAATAAGAGGCTGTCAGGCGCGTCAATTTTTCGACCGGCACTACGAATCATTGATTTATTTTTAGATAATGCCCTATGACGTTCTAAACCAAGGATGCACAACACCCCGCTCTTTTGGCGAGCGAAGATATTTCATCGAACAAACACATCATATCTTGTGCAAAAGAATATTGATTGGAAGATTGCAAATTTTCAAGATTCAGCGAAGTCGAAAATATAAAACGTTTATTTTGAAGCCAGACGTTCTGCCGGCTCAATTTCTAGATTCCATACTTTGGACGCACATACCAACTTGTTATAGAGTACATTATTTTTTCAATTGCAGGCCTATAACTTATCTGTTCTTACTGACTCGCTCTAATTATTCAGCTTAATTTTCGCGTGCTTGTACGCTTCGAATGGCAAGTTCTTATGACATTTTTGAACAATATGCACCAGCCTTGGAACTCACGAACCAACGACGGGAAAAATAAAGTAAATTTTGGGAGTTTACGTGCAAAAGAAGAAACATCTGTCACGCCCTAGCAGAGAACTGAGGACTGGGATCTTATAACGTGCCACTAAAATTTGTGACACAGCGCTTTCTCTGAATTGAGCCCCTTTAACATTGCGGGCACCTAAGCTTTAAATCAAACACGCAGAAGTGGGATCCGCAAGTCGGCGTTCTGTTTCATATTGCCACGCTCGTTGGCGTGCGAGCGCGCGCGCGGCCGAGTGCTTTTCGCGCTTGACTTTCGTGCGGAGGCTTAGCGTTCGATTTCTGGGAGTTCCACGTCTTTTATTTATTTTTTTTAAGTTTAATGTTCTGGTAAATTCGAGAACCCTGTTTCTTGTTCGAGGTTCGAATCTTGCAGTCGCCGAACCCTCTACGCCAAGTATTCCGGAAACCTACGCAAGTACATAAGGAACTCCGCATGGCGAGCCGGAGTCAGTCTCGCCCTATAGTTTGATCCTGCTGTTACGCCGACTTCGACGCCCGTGGCGCTCTGTTGTTATCTTCTGTTCCCGTTTTGTATTGGGCACAAGTTCGTCCCATTAACGATTCAGTTTCCTCTGTTATTCTTTGTTTCGTAACCTCGTCATTCGCCACAAAACTCACCAAAGTTTTTATTTTGTGGGTTAAGCCGCGGATTCTCTTAGAAGTTGTGAAGCGTGACATAAAACTGTTGGTACTATTCTCTAAATTTTCTTACTCGCCTACGTCGTCATGTAGAACGTAACTTGTTACTGAAAAGTTGTGTAGATCTGCCATAAGAGTGCAGTTTTAAGAAATAATCATGAATAGCGCGTCCTAGGTGCGTTGCGTGATCAACCACAACTGGGACGCTACACCAGCTTTCATAGCTTAGTACCAGGGTTCTAAAAACTAAAATATACATTTCTCCCTGTCAGTCTTAAACTGTCGCCACTTGAAAGTTCAGTTTTCGTCGTTGATGAACAATACAGGTTGATTACCCCCCCCCCCCCCCCCCCCCCCGGGTAGAGGCCAGGCTCTTCAAATCGACCTCAAAATTCGGTTTCTTAACCTATTGTGCTACGACTTTGTGCAGCGTTGCCCATAGATGGTGCTTTATATTTAAATTTCTTGTAAAACTTGCAAAGAGCGAACCTACCCCAGGAAAAAATAAAAAAAAAAGAAAGAAAAAGGCTTAGCTCCAATGGAAACGCAGCGAAGGCACCGGTCTTCAAACAACACGGCGACGTTTCGCACGGGAGACAAGAGATGGCGCAAGCGGTCGTGACGCCAACTGCCGCCAACGAACAAGCATACGACGCCGAGAGCCGGCGTCTGTTGCACACAAGGAACTGCAGTTCCTTGTTGTTACCGCGCCTGTTTTTGTTCCTACGACTGTCGCCGCCTGCGGAACGCGCGCCGCTTTTGAGTCGAAAAGGTCTGCTAAAGACGCCGGCTCTCGGCACCGTATGCTCCTTCGTTGGCGGCGTTCGTTGCGCCATCTCTTGTCTCCCGTGCGAAACGGCGCTGTGTTGTTTGAAGACCGGTGGCGTCGCTGAGTTTCCACAGGAGCTAAGCCTTTTTTTTTTCTTTACTTTTTTCTCAGGTAAGTGTGCTCTTTGCAAATTTCACAAAACAAAATGCACCATCTGTGGGCAACGCTGGACGAAGTCGTAGCGCGATAGGTTAAGAAACCGAATTTTTAATCGGTTTAAAGAGCCTGGCCTCTCCTTGAATCACACTGTAGTATTCACGGTGTTCTCGAGATAGGTAGACGCTGTCGAAATTCTGAAATCTCCACTCTTCGTCGAAAACCTACTACTTAGATTTTTCCGGGTACGAGCCGCGTAATCCTTCATATTGCGTTCGCCATTAGCCCCTCCAACGACCTACAGATGGCGGGGCTGTAGTTCCAAGATGGCAGACAAGTCAGGAACATATTTTTCCTGTGCCCGTTCGACATTCGTTAATGTTGGTCAGAGTGCCTGAATTAATATATTTGGTTAGAAAGAATAAGTAGCTATAGGGATGAGCAAATCACAGGCGACAGTAATATTGACTTGCGTGCGGAAGGATAGCACACGCATTTTCTAAACGTTGCGGGAGGCCCAAAGAACTCGCAAAACTTTGTGCAGGGCTAAAGCGTCTTAGACACCGGCCGCGTAATTGTGTGTGGCAGAAAACAGGATGGCTACAAATATATCGTCGTGTTTGCGTTGTACTTGGCCACCAATGCTTTAAACCATAAACCACATAGCATGACCTTCAAGCGATGGTAGAGCAGCGTTCCCAGTGTTGATGCCTGTGTGTCAGTGGCTCAGGGCTTACTGCCCACCGTCGCTGTTTTGCGGCATTGCAACTTGTAAATAATCTTCGCCATGGTTAATAATAACACTATCGGTGTGTTTGTGGGCAATATATTGTTTTGTCGAATAGAAATATTCCAATATATTACATCTGTCTACTGTGTAGCCCCAGCGTCATAATTCGCCTTTCAAAACTGCCCGTTAAAAGGACTAGTCACGAATGTGCATAAGAATGACGCTAGAATTTGCGTTTATGTTTTTATTTGTAATTACCTTTCAGCAAAAAAACCGTATTCTGTTTTTTTCAGAAGTGCGTAGAGCAAATAGTTATATTTCTTGTTCCATAGGCGCTGTACAGGGTTCCAGAGCGCAACA